TATCCACACACACATACATAAAAAATACGGTACAGTATAAACAAATCAGCAGATAAAGCGGCATCACTCAAATATATAAATCAAACTACAAATTTACAAACTTAAGGTCGATCTAGTGCCGTACCGTTATGTTCACGTCGTTATTGATTGACATGTTAGGTCATTGTTATTGTATATAATACAACAAATTTAAGCCCTAATCCAAAGTTCCAGGGAAAATTATAGATATCATGTATATCCCAGTATTAGCATACGAGCCGGGAAATTACAGCGCAATTTCCGCTCCACTAACCCCGCCAATCGAGGCGTACTCATGACCCATCATCGTGAAAGATGAAAGATGCGAATGCTAATTTTCTGATTCATATTCAGCGTGTTACGATTGAAGGAGATAATCGGGCATTAGCGAGATGATAATGTAGGCGTAAGTCGGGATTACCCCAACAAAAACATATACTTCCCTATGTTATTCCAGTGACCATCCGTTACTAGCGGAATACCATCAATCCATAACATTAATCCAATTTTTGCTGTGGTATATTAACAACAGAATGTCAATCAAACTCAAAATATAGGTTAAGATGGCCATATTGTTATTATTACCGTCATTATTATTATTATCATATAACTTGCCTTACATTTATCATCATCATCACCATCGCCTTATCACAATTTACTTCGTTATAATTATAATCATTATCATTATTATAATTATAGAAATTTATAATAGTAATACGTACAGTACAGTATTATTACTATTATCATCAACATTAATAGTATATTTAATATTTACGATAAAGAAATAGCCCCTATGGCGGTAAGATGCTGCAGATAATGTTTTATTGTATTTTAGGGCCACCTCGTTTTTCTTCTTATCAAAAAAATTATCATTGTCTATAAAGCGACGAGTGATGATATTAATAGAAAAATATTGTATTCACAATGTGTGCGGATAGGCCAGTTTATTCCGGACATCGCTTTGACCTAATCACTATTCAATATGGCCAATATAGGCCTAAACCATGGTATTGTTTAATCATTATTTAGGCGTTTTTATAGGTCCATGATAATAGATGAGAAGGCTTTTGTCCAGACTTCCTGGATATCATATCCTCATCACATATGCATTTAACATCTGCGCTAACGGCGAGTGCCATTAGACAGTATAGTGTCCAGAACAAGTCATAGACCTACAGTATTTAATGGTTGGAACAATAAAAAAATCTAAATATGCTTGCGTTTTAATAAAATAATAACTTCAATAGGGCCGCCCTCCGTCGGCGAGAGCTGTCTCCCTGTCGGGGAGAAAAACCTAAATTTGTCTGGGAGGGGAAAAAAAGATTTTCTACATATTAGTATATACTGGACCACTCGAAAATGTTGAGCGACGCCCGACCATGCCCGCTTTGCTCTGGTCGG